TCCAGAACATATGGTCGCAGGTCTGCTGATACGATTACAAAATCGATCATCGACCTACGGCCTAGAGCGTCCTGGTGCCACGTGCACTTATGGACACTCTTATGTTCGAACTCCAGCACTTTATCTATAATAAAATGATGACAGAAAAATGTTATAGCCCTGCCTTTAGTAGCCTCACACAGCTCCTGCTGTTTCCTCCTCATGTGTTTCTTTGTTTCTGATCTAGCCAGTAAAAAGGCAATATAGACTTCTTTTGATCTCTGCTTGAAGCAGATGAATCAGCAGACACTGGTGCATAACATCTAGGGATTTCCATCTGGATAAGATCAGGAATCTCCTGTTCCCAGGCAAGCCATCTGTCACGAAGGCTGGGTGGCTGGATTGGGTCATCCCAGCCGAGCTGTTCCTTCCAAAGATCCTCTAACAGAATCTTGGCTTGTGTGGTGAATGGCACTATACTGTATAACCTAGACAATCGTACTGACAGGTGAGTGTTTTGTAGACATTCCTCAGTGTGTCGATGTCTGTATTTGAAGCGTGGTGGAGTTGGCGCAACAAAGCAGTGGTGTGGCATACCTCTGTATCCCATCAACAGTGACCCAGATGGTTGGTGTTGGAGTAGGTTTTAGAGCTTGCTGATCTTGCGTCGATTGAGTTACCTGCTTCTTGCTCACATAAGGCAGCATATCAATCTGCCAAAGATGCTCAACATTTCTGAAAGGCTCGCAGGTTGGCACTGTTGTTGTGAACAGGCACTGCTGCTCGGATGCAGGGGTCTGGTCAATGCTGGTAGGACCTTGGAGCAACCAACCAAGCTTGGTATAGACAGCAATGGGTCCCCCTGTTGGACCCAAATGAACTGGTTCTGTGGGTGTCAGGAGATGAGGCATGTCAGCGCCGATAAGCAGCAGAGGTTGAACATGGTCTACCAAAGGCAGAGGTAAGTCACTCAAGTGTTATAGTGACGCTGGAGAATCTTCACTGGATGCGAATGTTCTGAGAGATCAAGAGCATCAGCGGTGAATGCCTTGTGTATATGATACTTCTCCCCAGATTTGTCGGGGGAGGATACTTGGAAGGAAACTGAGGCACTGCGAAGCTACACTACCTCTTGGTGGACAGTCTGCACGGTAAGTGTCTCAGACTGAGGGGTTCAAGCGTTGAACAGCTTGTGGTAAAATGATGCTTCATTCTGAGCCATCATCTAGTATTGCAAGAGTCTCCAGTGTTCGGTCTCCATTGTACAGCAATACCTTTACAACCTTTGGCATAACAATGGGGGACCGGTTTGGCCTATCCAAGTGCACCGTTGTAGTTGGAGGAGTCATCATGAGCACACTCTTCTGGATCTGCTGGACCGCGTCACACAGTATTGTCAGGTGCTACAGAGTGGTACTGGCCTGTTCCAGACACTAACATTCCAGACACTCTGGATCCCCTGCAGTATGTCTACCGACCCAATAGGTCCCATCAGACACCATTGCTGCTGCCCTTCACTATTCCTATATATATATATATATATATATATATATATATATATATATATATATATATATATATATATATATATATATATATATATATATATGTATGTGTATGTGTATGTGTGTGTGTGTGTGTAAATTGCCCTGCAGGGGGTCTAGCAGCCTGGGAGCTTGAGGGTCCTGCACAGTATCTTAGCTGTTCCTAGGACTGCACTGCTATGGACAGAGATCTCCGTAGTCGGTATCTGTAGCCAGTCTTGTCAATGATCTCATTGAGGGGGTCTAGGCCTATGCAGAACAGTAGTGGGGACAGAGAATCTCCTTGGTAGATCCCGCACCTGATGGTGACTTGTGCTATGGGCTTGAAGTTGGCCTCTAGTATTGTCCACCACATCTCCACTGAGTTCCTGATGAAGGCTCTTAGGGTCCTTCATTTTTTAAATACAAGGATATGACATGTAATTCATCCGATCCTGGCTCTAGCGCTCCTTCCGACCTTGAGCGGTATTATCGTGTACTACATTGTCGCTTTTTGTTGTGTTTTTCTTTTCTTTTTCTTTTTCTTTTTTATTTCTTGACAAAGGGAATCAGGAATATATCTAGCTGGGTCACCACTATAGACAATCCGGCAGAGGAGGAGGAAGGTAAATCGAATTGAGTTTTTTCTTTTTTTAAATACACAGGATATGACGTAGTCATTCAACCGATCCATGCTATATTGCCCCTCCCGATCTGGAGTGGTATAACGTGTTGTAGAAAGGTTTGATCAATTCGCGCTTAAAAAAATAATACATTCTCTGTTTTTTTTCTTTCACGCTTATGGTACCCAACAGAGGGAGTTGAAGCATCCCGAGCTCTCCCTCCTATTACACCCATACCTTGCGGGCTGCACGTCAGGAGACTCGGAGGTAATTGACCGGGATGAACCGATCCTATAAATTTAAAAAAATTTGTTCAATTACATTTTTAAGATAATTTACATAAAACTGGATATGTCACAATCTGATGTTGTATTAATAAAGCTCTCTGCCTCGTTGAACGTATGAATCAGCCCTATAAATAAATTTTAAAAAGTGTAAACGATTCAAAGATAAGTGCAGCATCATTACCGGCAGGGGTGGCAGGAGGAGGAGGAGCAGCCTGCGGAGCATCAGCACTGAGGTCTCGGGTACAAAATCAAAACGAGGTTGTGACCCGTCACTATAACTTCTGTTTTTCCCAAAAACACTATGGCCATCCCCTCCCCCGAAAACTACTGGCGTCTGTCCAAAGCTTACTCACACGCGTCCATTCAGTGGTTGGAGTGGGAAGCTAAAATCCCTATTCCATACACGTTAAAGGCGGAAAGAGAGAAAAAAAAAAATAGGCCCATACTTTGTAGACGGTTACTCGGAGAGAGAGGGAGAGAGGTGGGTCTGGGAGTTTCTGGGATGCTTTTATCACAGGTGTCCTAAGTGCCACAGGTCCAAGGAGACCTGCCCTCTGACTCCGGCCAGTAGTAAACTCACAGTAGCACAGGAACAGAGCGGGAGGGAAAGAGAGAGAAAGAGAGCCAGGGACAACAACAAGAGACAACATCGTCACATTAGAAAGGTATAGTAATCATCCACAATTATTTGTAGTTGCAGATGAGAAAGAATTCAGAAAGTTTACACATGCTGTGAATCCTATGTGTGCAATTCCAGGCAGGAAAACACTCTCCAAAAAAATCATCCCAGGCTTATGTGAAAGAGAAAGTGCATCTTCTTTTTGTTTTGCATATTTTAATTTATATTTTATTGTGTTGTGGCTTGTGGCTCTCTTTCTCTCTCTGCTTTGTCTCTAGGAGCCACCGTATATATAAACATTTATAAATAAAAACACGTTTTTTTTTAACATTAGTAATTCCTTTTGTGCATAATTTTATATTGTTGTTGATAATAAATTAATTAAAGCAACAAAACAACCTGAAGAGCCGGTTGGGAGCCGAAAGAGTCGGCTCTTTTTATTGAGTTGAGCCGAAAGAGATGGCTCTCTAAAAAAAGAGCTGGAATTCCCATCACTACTATCAATGTGAGCTCCGGGAGAAATGCTTACTGCGTCCACACGGTCGTGATGAGGGAGCACGAATAGACCAAAATGAAAAATCAAACGAGGAGGTCAAAAAGTTCCTGCAGAGCTAAGACACTCCCGAACCTCTGTCCCCTCGCTCTGCCCTTTACGGAGGCGAACTTGAGGCTGTGGTACAGCGCCTTGCCTGGAGAAAATGTGTAGGCCTGGTGTATCTGCCGCGAAGGCTCTTTTCCCCCATTCTACCGTACAAAACATCTTGAGGTAAATTGATCTTTACCCTCTGCCGCACTTTTTCTGAAATAATCACTTCATAATTAACTCTCATGGTATCTTTTTCTGGCGATTCTTCAGATGAGGACAATTTAAATCAAGCTACAATTGCGAGCTTGGAGAGTCCCCAAAGAGGGACAAAAGGACACCCTGATGTAGAGCTGGGCGATATGAGATTTTTTCATATCACGATATGTTTTTTTCATTTCAGGCGATAACGATATCTATCACGATATAAGCCAAATAACTATATTTGTAAGATTTAAATGTGCCGTTGCTCACAAGTAAAATGTGAAATAATCAGCAGCTTGTTTTTATTTAAATATTTATTTCCCATAATAAGTTCAACAGGGTAGATGTACTTAAGGAACATGAGACTTTTTCAGATAAATAAAGGCAAATATTGCAAACTACACAAAAGGCAGCCGCTAAAGCGTTTAAGTTTCAAAATAGAACAAACGAAACAGACTAAATTGTCAATTCCACTTAGAAACAAAATATTAATTCTAAAAATAAATCTTAGTTTGTTTTACAGAAGAACAGACAAAACTGACTAACTTTTGTCAATATCAAATAAACTGAGAACTAAAAGGAAATTCTCAATCTCTCCTTGTTGTATAGCTTAGCTTTTCAAACAGTTTTAACAGTTACTTTAGTCTGACAAAAGCCGAATGACGAATTAGCGCTTCCAGTCAGAGACTGAGGCTACGTCCACACGTACACGGGTATTTTTGAAAACGGAGATTTTCCGTTTTCGTTTTAAAAAATAATCCCGTCCACACATAAAGGCAGAAATGAAGGAAAACGCTGCTATGAACATGCCAAAGCAGCAGGTGGCGCTAGATTCCTAACCGTGCAGAAATGTTGGCCAATCAGAAGTCTAGAAGCCTCGGTGGGAAAAAGTAAACAAAGCTGGGGCATAGAAGCAGAACCGAGTCGTATGTGTGGAGGGACAGTAACTGTGTGTATATGTAAGCATTTAAACACTGCAGAGAGTAGAATTAACAGTAACAGTATTGTAGAAATTCATTTCACCGAAACAATAACGTGGCGCACAGTGTGACGCATGCACCAGTTTATTGTATTTCCAGACTTGCTTTCGGCACAATTTACAGTGCACGCTACTCTGTTTTTTGTCAGACTTGAAATAGCCGAAATACCTTCACACTACGGAACTTCTATGGCTCTTCCGTTCGACAATCTCTCCGGCATTGGAACCATCATCTGTTTTCTCTTCGGTCACGCTCGGTTGATTTTTCTAGTCGGCACACTCATTTCCTCCATTACGCGCTGGCTCCATTACCCGCTGGCTGCTTCCCAAACAAACACACGTGCGGCTTGGCACTTGTGCTGTACGTAACAAGTCACGCGACGTGACGCTGCGGCTGTGATTGGTTCGGCTCTGCGCTACTTAATTTGGATTGGCTGTTTTTTTTTTTTTTTGGGACAAGAGCGGCAAGGTCTATCGCGATAGCTTAATTTCTCTATCGAGTAAAAGTTATATCGCGATACATATCGTTATCGTTCTATCGCCCAGCTCTACCCTGATGATCCTCTACCTACTCACATGAGGCAAGGTGTGAAAACACGTGTGGGTCACAATCAGCCAGGGTTTGGGGGGATACTCCCACTGGGTTTAAATCTGGGACTCTCCACCATTTGACCCTTAGAACTGAAGAAGCTTGTCGGATGAGAGGTGAAAACATCTTTAAGCAACTTAAAGAAGTCCAGACGCTTTTTTCCCCAGCTCTGCTGTGTGGGAGGGAGCCTTGCGTGGTTTTCAAAGGCTATCTTATGATCCCAACTTGATGATCTGTGTGAAATTCTCAGATGATATGGGGAAAAATGAGGAAGGGGTTGATTTAGGTGGGCCAAGGAGGGAATTCTTGAGACTATTGATGGACACCATTGCCAGGTCAGCCATGTTTGAGGGGAAAGAAAACTGCAAGAACTTGGCTCTTGACAGTACTGGTAATTACCTATTTTTCTAAGATTAATAATAATATTGGATGGTTTGCGCTTAAGCCAAGTTTCGATACCTATTCATTACTCATATGGTGGAGCAGTAGTTTGTACTTTTACTATTCAGGCAACATTACTGACAATATTCATTCACTCTCACATTCACACACTGGTGGAGGCAAGCTACAGTAATAGTGTAAACTTTTTAACTGATATTTATTTTTACAGGCAACATTACTGACAGTTTTGCTTTTCCCTTTATTCTGTTGCTTTGCAGCTCTCTGAGGGTACTGGTACTACATCTCTGGCAGAGCCATTGCAGTGAGCTTGGTACATGGTGGTCCACCACCTAACTTTCTGTCACCAACAGTATTTTCTTGTCTAGTTGGAAATTCAGCAAATCCACCCTGGAAGACATAGCTGATTCGGTACTCTTTGAAAAAGTCGAAGAGTTCCAAGTTGAAGAAGAATTGTCTCCCCATATGCTAATCAAGTCCAAAACCTCAGTTTCTGTCCATTGACTCGCTGTCTCCAGTTTCCCCCACCATGCTTTCTCGTTTGTCTTCTCCGGTGCAGTGTGAACATAGAGTAAGAGACAGGGATCTGCTGGTACATGACATTGTCATATTTCAGGTCATCCACAGGGTCCTATTCAAAGGTATTTGGGTATTCTGTGTTTTTCAGATTAATTAAAATAGTGATAGAAATCTTACCTATTAATCAAAATGGCCAGTTTAATAACCTAATACAATTCAAATTGCCAAATTGATTATATGCAGTTAACTTAGAAACCTGAAATTGCATAATTATTAACATTCATCTATTAACATTCATCATTTTCAACATTCATCTATCTCCAGAAGGAAGCAACAGAAGAGCTGCTGAGGAGATGGTTGTTACATTCTGGAGGGACTATCTCCAAGCTACAGAAGGTAATTGGCACTTTAGTGTACAATAAACAGATATAGCGATTTATAGTTCTGCATTTCTGAAAACTTTACTTTAAATAACATACTTGTATAACAATAACACCACAGCTTCTGCTGCTTCTTAATTACCCTCTTGGTTGTAGTAACATTTTTACATAGTTTTTGAAGCTGTTGAAGGATGAAAAGCGTGTTCTATAGTCATTACAATAACAGTCTTTCAAAGATTCTTGCTTTAGATTAATACTCACTGACAAATTATTCTGGCAAAATAATCTAATATGAAGTTACCTTATAACATTTATTTCCTTCTCTGTTTTATGCAGAAGAAGAAGGACATTCCAAGTTAGAGAAGCTATTGGCCTTTGCAACTGGAGCAACTGCGGTGCCACCTATTGGCTTTTCCCCAGCACCCTTGATTGAGTTCATTCATAGAGGAGATGACGACTTCTCTTCTACACCAATTTTCCCTCTTGCCAACACGTGTGTTAACTACATTAGGCTGCCACTGCATGTTTCATACCAGTTGTTCAAGGAGATGTTTGATTTTGCCTTAGGTAACACTTACGTCTTTGGCAGGGTGTGAACACATTATGCTGTATGAGTTTGTGGTTTTATCTTTTGTATTGGTCTCTCTGCTGATTCAAAGTGAGCATTGAATATTAACTTTTTAAGGTTTTAATATTTCCAAATTTAGCTGTGTCAGTCAAATTGATGTTTTAAGACATCAATTTGACAAGAAGTGATTGTTCTTCAGGATTAAAATCCAATTGTTTAACAGCACTTCAGAAGTTTATTTACACTGTTGAGTATGAACATATAATCTTTGTCTCACTTTAGTCTTTTCATGTGCATGTGCATCTGTCTTTGATATGGTTGTCTTTCTGTCTGTTTATTCTTCTGCCTGTCTCAGTTTCTGTTTGATTGACAACAGAGCTGTCATTTTATCCTATTGATTGATTGATAATACTTTATTCATCCCGAGGGAAATTGAGTTAAGGCTGCCAGCCGTGCCAGCGCCATCTTACCCTTCCGACCATACATACATTACGCAAAACATCACATGGGCAAGACAGGTCAGAGAGGTATAACAATGGAAAATGCACCACACGAGGAAAGATAAGGAGAAAAAAAAACACCTCTGCACATAGCACATGAAAAACTCTTAATACACCAAAGAAACACATGACAAGCAACAGGGGTGGGTAAAGGGTGCAGCATCGGAAGGGAATAAGCATCGAAGGCGTTTGGAAAGGGAGGGGAGATGAGTGTGTGCATATCAGTGTATATGTATGTGTGTGCGTGTCCAGAGTTCAGCTGAGACAGTGTCCTTCGCCCTGCTAGGCTAAGTAAACAGTCTTCCAGCCAACCCAGGTGGCCTTGCATGGAATGTGAGGAACAGACTAAACACAGTCGTTATCAGGGTGTTGTTGTTCAGCTCCAGCCTTGAGACCGCAGCTGGTGCCAAAAGGGGTATCCGCTTAAGTGATGGTGGTTTTTACTTTAGTGCGAACAGCTCATATGAATTTCAAAGCAGTTCTACAGTCCAACACTGGTATCGCAATCTCCCTTTGGAGAGCCGCGAGCTTCGGCATACTCGCACTCTGTGATGTTGTCATTTCTTGTGCTCAAGGAGCCGATTTCTGAGAACTCACGGCAGTGTGCTTCCCCGAGATGTCATCCAATTTGCGCCCAGAGATGTTATTCTGAGCTAGCCCTTCCGTGATGTATCCAGTCTGCAGTCAGAGATCTTATTCTGAGTATTCACAGCAGCCGTAGCCTCTCCAGAACCCTGTTACCATGGTTAGATATCTTCAGCACTCAGGCTCACCCAAGCCCGAACTTCTCGTTGAGAAAGGGGTGTCAATTGCATTTAGGGACCAGTTGATCCAATCCATAATTCCTCTTTTAGGTTTTAGAGAACAGACTGTGAGAATGTTCCAGGGAAAAGTAATACAAAAAACACAAGAGGAGGAGAGGAGAAAAGTGTGAATGCCTTCGTCAAGAGCAAGAGCAAGGAAATGCTTAAAGAAAATGCTTTCAATATTTTGTTATTTTTGATCAGATATGTGTTCTGAAATGTTTTTTTTGTTTTTAAAATTTTTTTGCAAAATATTTGATTCAATGTAGAAGGTGAAATAGTGAACATCTATTTCATGATTTCCATCATTTTCTAAAGGATTCTGTCATGGTCCCTGTGCCTGTTTGGCTGGCTCAGTGTGGCTACAAGTGTTTTTGAGCTAAGATTTTAAAGTTATTCACATAATGAAAACCTATACTTTGTTTCGGGCGAGTTGCCCATTCAAATGCATGTAATCGTAAGAAACGCACTGTCTTGACGAAATAAAGCGTTTTTGTACAACTTCATATAAATAGCTGTAAGTTTTGATAGAAGACTCTGTTAGAGAGTTATCTCTAGGATGCTGGGATGATAGCTCCCTCAGGACTTAAACTCCAGTCAGAGAGTGGGGCACAGAGAGTGATGTCCGGATATACTTTAATGGAAGTTAACAGCAGCTCAACAGTACAGCAGTAGGCATACTTAACGAATGTGGGACGGGTGGACAAACGTGTGTGTTCCTGTGCAAATGTGAGTCAAAATCCCTCCAGTTCTACGAGTCCATTTCTACTTATAGCACGGGTTGTACTTTGATGTTAATTACAAGGGGTTTATGCTAGGAGATTTATCGAGATGGGTAGAGGCGTGTGACTTACCAGCGTAGCATTTGTTGCGGGTTGTATCTGTGCACTGCAGTTGGGTTATTTAGCCACTAGAGGGCACTGAAGACCATATAATTGCTGACCTTTCCTAATTTGGGGGCATTAGGTGTTTTCTGTTGCCTGAGATATGCAGATATTCTTGTTTCCTGCTTGTTCAAATGGGATTGTGGGACTTTCTTATGTCAGAGCATTCAGCTGATTATTTGTGTTACAGTTCATTATATTGGCATGATGTTGGGAAGTGACGATTGTTATATTTACATGTGAAAATTGTTTCTCCTTGTTTCTTGTTATTCAGAACCACA